GTGTGTGTGTGTGTGTGTGTGTGTGTGTGTGTGTGTGTGTGTGTGTGCTGGATATGAATGACTCTGAAACTACTTTAGAAGCAGGGCAGGATCTGCTGTGGGCAGTGCTGATGTTGGGAGCTCTCACAGAGGAAAACAACAAAGGTGGGGCTGGAGAAGACTAGCGGGAACCTGCTGCAGGGCCAGGTGTTCTGGTCCATGGAGTTTGCAGAGGCTCAGCAGGCTGAGGGGCTGAGAGAGGTTGAATGTTGAACTTGCATTTCTGAAGGGAAATGGAGGAGTGAGTGGGGAGGGAGGAGGTGAAGGGGGTGAATGAGGGGTAGATGGAGGGAGAAGAAACTGTTGTCAGGATGTAAGATATGAGAGAATAAATTAATAAAAATAAGAGGAAATGTGTGTGTCCTAGTTCCATCTGTTGCAAGGGTCTAGAGACAGTCCCCCTAGATGGTATAAAAACACTGGGCGCCCACACCAACAGTTCTCAGAATATTCCTCTCAAAGGCATAAAAAGGCCAAATGTGGCAACACATACCAGCAGTCCCATCACTTGGATAGTGAAACACTGAGCCAGAGGACTGCATGTGTTCAAAGCCAGTCTGGATTATACAGTGAGTTTTAGGCCAGCCTGGGCTATAGTATGAGACTATAGTATGAGTTAAAATAGTCAAAATGAAGGCTTTGTAATTGTTCTAATCAATTGCACATTTATGCTGCTGCCCATCCATTCCAGCCCAGCAGTGAGAGGTATGTTCCTAATGAGAGCTGATTGACCCTGGTGTCCATTTTTTTTCCCCGGTATTTATTTTCAAGTCTCTCTCTCCCAGGACATCCACTTCAAACAGGAACACAAGAAGACTGAGCACAAGTACATGCCCCAGAATACATCCCTGTGGGAAAGAAAGCCTGTGACTGCTGCGATCATGTGCCCGGCCCAGACGTGCCATCTGGAGCAGCCTCCACCGCAGCCTGCCATTCCCTTTATGAACACAGGCCTCATGGGAAGGGCTTTTCATGGCTGGTTGGTTAGAAAGCCATCCATTTTACATCCTCTTTAAGAAGCCATCATGATGCTGAGCCTGATGGTCAACTGATGGGCAAAGTGAATGGAATTTTATGTAAGAAGTGGGAAATAGTAAGAGCTGGAGGGGATGGGAACTCCACAAGGAGAGCAACAGAACAAGAAAATTTGAACACAGGGAACTTCCCAGAGACTCATACTCTAACCAAGGACTATTCATGGAGATAACTTAGAACCCCTGCACAGATGTAGCCCATGGCAGCTCAGTGTCCAAGTGGGTTACATAGTAATGGGAAGAGGGACTGCCTCTGACATAATCTGATTGGCCTGCTCGTTGATCACCTCCCCCTGAGGGGGGAGCAGCCTTACCAGGCCACAGTAGAGGACTGATAGACTAAGATCAGAAAGGAGAGGAGATCCTCCCCTATCAGTGGACTTGGGGAGTGGCATGCATGCAGAAAGGAGAGGGAGGGTGGGATCGGAAGGGGAGGAGGGAAGGGCTTATGGGGGGATACAAAATGAATAAAGTGTAATTAATAAAAAATTAAAAAAAAGAAGCTATCACTCAACAAGGAATCCCCCTCATGGACCAATAGAACAACTACTGTGAGTCTTGTACTGCCCAGTCTGTGTAGACCTCATCTGCCATGGCAGAAGCTACGTTTCTGGTAAGCAATCCAAAGTTCCTACTTCTAAATAGGACCTATATGCCCCTGGGTCATCAAGGTACTTTGCCATTGAAATGTCCCTGTGCCCTCCTATAGACAGAACCTTGCCATCCTCCCTGGTACATGCTTACTGTGAGGGAGGGGTGGCTGTACCCTCTGTATGGGTACTGAGGCTCTGTG